AAGAAAAGAAAAGAAAAGAACTTGTCATTCAGCTGCAAAGAATGCAGCTAGCTGACAGCTCCTCCAGGATCCACCTCAGTCCCATCCTTCCTGGGCAGTCCCCCAGCTAATGATAAGCATAGGGGTACTGGGGCCTAGCCATTTCTGTCCAACAAGGATTCCTCTATTAGGCAATCTTTGCTTCTGAGTTTCTCACTGGCTCAGCTGAGACTCTCACCGCCCCCAACTTTGCTAGCCCCTTGATCTATCACAGGCACTCCTAACTCTATCTCAGTGTCTGCTCCCCAGAGGTCCTGAACTGACAGATCCCTACCCCACTTCCATTATACGGTTATTGTATTATGAAAATCCAGTTAAGTTACATCACAACACATTGCAAACTCAGATGGATAATATAAAGTAAAAATGAAAATCAGTGGTTTTCATGCTTTATGATTTCATGTACCATTATATATCCCACAAGCTGGAGAAGCAATCTTGACTGGTAAGGATATTAAAAATAGGAACATTAAAAATAAACTTTTTAAAAACCCCATGAACATCTATTAACACCAATGTTTCATAAAAGGAAAAGCTTAACACACATATACAAAAAGTAGCTATTATATAATCTCAGTTATGTCCTTTCCCTTAAGGTTCATAAACAAGTCTTTATCAAGAGTCACATGCTCTACTGACTGAGCCATCCAGGTGCCTCTGAAAGAATTAATTTTGAATTAATGGATTATCCTGGGTTACAACCTTTGAACCAATGAGCTCATTTTGGAGATTACAACCCAACAAAACAATTCAAAAAAGAGAAGTAATCACTGATACAAAACCAAAAACAATACCTCTTCCTAATACATTCTAGTTTATAAAATGTTTTCATAGCTTTAACTTCACTTTGAACCTCACAATAGACCTAAGTGATAAATACAATCATTTCCATTTCACAGGTAAAGAAACAGTCTCAGAGTCTCAGAGAGAATAGAGAATATACACTTCAGTAAGATGTTTATAGATGAGTTATCTTTAATGGCAAAGCATTGGAAACAAGTCAGATATCCCAAGTCTGGGAACAGTTAGGAAAACTCTGGAATGTTAATAAACAATATATCATATAAAAACTAACTGCAGGGCGCCTGGGTGCCTCAGTTGGTTGAATATCCGGCTCTTGGTTTTGGCTCAAGTCATGGTCTTGGGTTTGGACCCTGCTTGGGATTCTTTCTCTCTCTTCCTCTCTCTGCCCCTCCCCTGCTCTCTCTCTCTCTTAAAATGGATAAATATCAAAAGCAAAAACAAAAAACAAAAAAACACTGCACACTAAAATTCAAAAGCTTAGGGGCACCTGGATGGCTCAGTCATTTAAGCTTCTGACTTCAGCTCAGGTCATGATCTCTTTTATTTAAAAAAAAAAATTTTTAATGTTTATTTACTTTTGAGGGAGAGAGAGACAGAGTGAAAGCAGGAAAGGGGCAGAGAGAGATGGAGACACAGAATCTGAAGCAGACTCCAGGCTCTGAGCTGTCAGCATAGAGCCTGATGCGGGCTCGAACCCATGAACTGTGAGATCATGATGTGAGCCGAAGTCAGACATTCAACTGAC